TGTTGACGATCGTTGCCTGCCCGGATTTCGCGGAGAAATTCGTTCTCCAAACCAACGCCAGCGACTACGGCATTGGAGCCGTGCTGACCCAAACCATAGAGCAGCAAGAACGGGTCATCGCTTATGCCAGTCGCCGGCTCAACAACGCCGAGCAAAATTACTCCGAGAAAGAGTGCCTCGCGATAGAGTGGGCAATCCGCAAGATGCGATGCTACCTCGAGGGAAACAGATTCGACCACCACTCACTAAAGTGGTTAAACTCCATCGACAACCCCACGGGCCGGATAGCTCGGTGGGCGTTGGAACTACAGCAGTTCCAGCACGATATCAACTATCGACGTGGGACACAAATCTTGGTCGCCGACGCCTTGTCGCGTCAACCGCTCGCAACCATCCAGCAAGCGCAGGTGCAGGACAACACCTGCAACTAGATCAGTAAGATGCTTCTCCGGATCCAGGAGTCCGCAAAGTATCCCGACTACCGCGAGGAGAACGGACAGCTGTACCGACGTATAGGCTTGCGCCCGGAAGAGGAGGATTACACCCCCTGGAAACTGTGTGTGGGCACTAGTTTCCGCAGGAGGGTATTACAGGAGTGCCACGATCATTCAACCGCCGGGCACCTGGGCGTACGGAAAACATGTACGCGGGTGGCCCAAAAATATTACTGGCCCGGACTTTTCCGAGAAGTAGCCGTCTACGTGCGACGATGCCTGAGCTGCCAACGCTTCAAGGTTAGCCAGGAGAAGGCAGCTGGAAAAATGTTCGACGAACCTTTCCAGATCCTCTGCGCTTCAAACAAGGGAATACGGTTCTCCTTGTATTCTTGGATTCCTTCAGCAAGTGGGTCGAACTAATTCCCTTGCGACGGGCCACAGTGCCTCACTTGGAGCGAGCCTTCCGAGAGCGGATCCTCAGCCGATTCGGAATCCCAAATACTCTGGTTTGTGACAACGGGACTCTGTTCACCAGCATAGCATTCCAGGCTTTCTGTAAATCCTTGGGAATGGAATTGCAGCATACCGCCCCATATACGCCGCGACAGAACCCTACCGAGAGGGTAACCGCACCGTAAAGACCATGATTGCGCAATCTCTTGGCGACGAGCCGCAGAATACCTGGGATCAGCTACTCCCGGAGATATCTCTCGCGGTCAACAGCAGCGTATCGGATACCACTGGTTTCAGCCCCGCTTTTCTTGTCCAAGGCCGGGAACCACGCCTTCCCAACGCACTCTACGACGAGGTGACGCCAGGACGGGGAACAGCATTAATCCCGCCTGAAGAACGAAGCCAACAGCTGCACGGCATCTTCAAAGTTGCCCGTGATAATGCTGAGCGTGCCACCGCCGAGCAGGGTCGGCACTATAATTTGCGACGACGAGAATGGAGGCCAGCTTTGGGCGCTCTCGTCCTCGTGCGCCGGCATGTGATATCAAACGCCGCGGAGGGATTTGCCGCTAAGCTATCTGCAAAGTTCGACGGGCCTTACAAAGTCATAAAGTTTGTGTCCCCAAACATAGTTCGGCTGCAGGAGCCCACGACTCGCCGACGCCGTACAGCAAGTATCAACAATTTAAAACCTTACCACCAAGACGGCGACGAGGACAGCGGCAACGATCTGGAGCAGATAGGTCAGGCAGATATAACCAGCCTCGCATACCTCGACGATATCATCGTAATCGGTTCCACGCTCAAGGAACACGTCCAGAACTAGCGAGAGGTATTCAGACTCCTGAGGGAAGCCAACCTCCGTCTGAATAGGGACAAATGTCAATTTTTCCAACGGATCATCAAGTACCTTGGCCACGTGATCAGTGAAGCCGGGATACACACCGACCCGGATAAAATTTCCGCCATACGGGAGCTGACAGCGCCGACGAATCTAAAGGAGCTTTGCCGATGCCTCGGCATAGCGTCTTGGTACAGGCGCTTTGTACCGAATTTCGCCGACGTAGTGGAACCAATGACTTCACTGCTCAAGAAAGACCGAAAGTGGGAATTGTCAGCCAAACAGGAGCAGCTTTTTGCGCTCTCGTCCTCATGCGCCGGCATGTGATATCCAACGCCGCGGAGGGATTTGCCGCTAAGCTATCTGCAAAGTTCGACGGGCCTTACAAAGTCATAAAGTTTATGTCCCCAAACATAGTGCGGCTGCAGGAGCCCACGACTCGCCGACGCCGTACAGCAAGTATCAACAATTTTAAACCATACCACCAAGACGGCGAAGAGGTCAGCGGCAACGATCTGGAGCAGACAGGTCAGGCAGATATCACCAGCCTCAACGACGGCCATGTTGTCTACGACGCCACAGCCCAGCACTAACGACAACATCAAGTTTTAAAGACTTAACGGTCGTACCAGACTTACCAGACCACGCAAAATCAATCGGATTAATCGATATCCATCGTCATCGATCGAACGCTATTAATCGGTACCCATCGACATCGATTGCCCACTCGATCCCTGCCAGGACACACAAACCTCTGATCTTCAGGAACCCCAGCCCCCAGGACGCATCAACGCAAGCAGGGCCTGCCGCAACTGCGGTCAGGAAGGACACAGCGCGACAGGGTGTCGAAATCCCAGAATCATGTTCTGCTGGGATTGTGGCCAACAGGGCATTCAAACCGTCGACTGCTGCAGGAACCAGACGCCGGGAAACGGGGACCCCTTCGAACGCCCAGAGACACTAAAAACAACGATTCAAGAGGATCACAACCGTATCCCTCAACGCCACCTTGTATACGGGGGCCTCATACAGCTTCATGAGTGAGCGCCTGGCCAGAAAACTCCCACGTCAAGCTAGCCGAGAGGACCGGCCGTGAGGTAACTCAAACCCTCAGGGTGACCATTCAACTAGGGGAAGCACGGGTTCCTTCTCGGGATGGATTTCCTGCGTTACGGAGCAGCCACGCTCCAGTGCGGTGGACTTGGACTCACGCTCCAACCGCCCCCTCACCTCAGGACCAGAGGAACAATGCAATGGGAAGCAACGACAGACCCAGAAGCCGCCGTGCAGGCGCGCACAGACGGAACAAGCCGCCGTGCAGGCGCACACAGAGACGGAACAAGCCGCCGTGCAGGCGCACACAGATGGGACAAGCCGCCGTGAAGGCGCACAAATCGACGCAGGGAGAAGCCGCCGTAAAGGCGCACACCACACCAAAAGCCGTTCTACGGACGCATCCAAAAGCCGCCACGCTGGCGCACACCACCCAAAGTCGTCCCGCGGACGCACCCAAAAGCCGCCACCAGGGCGCACACCACGCAGAGGCACCAAGAAGCCGCCCCTCGGGCGCAACCACAACAGGACCACGACTTGGCAACTAGGCCACAGCAGGAGGCCCCTCTACAAGCGGCTCCACGAGCACAACCGCAGCGTGAGCACATCACGGCTGCTCCACAGCGTGGCAATCACGGGAACACAACGGCACACGTCATCCAGACAGGTCCAGGAACAGCTCCGAGCTGGTTTGGAGCTTTGCCCGCCCCTGACTCATCGGCGATCCAACGTAACCCGTTTCGTAAGGAAGTAAAAACGAGTTAGATTCCAGGATCCGGAACCAGCAGTGACCACGGCCATTCCCGCGTGTGGAATTGCAGACGCCGAGTACGACTCAGAGGATGAGTCGCGCCCCAGCGACCACGTCGAGACCTACTCAGAGCCCTGGATAGGAGCATTTTTTGAACGAGAACACCTAGCCGGCGTCTTCCACATCGCCGATCATAGTATCATCATGCGGAATGACAAACCGAACAAGCAGAGGTACCACCCGAGGAATCCTGCGATGAGGGCCGTCGTCGACAAACAGATTGACGAGCTGCTCCGCGACGGTAGGATCGAGCCATCCAAAAGTCCACATAGCGCGCCGATCGTCATCGCCGCTAAGAAAAACGGAGACGTCCGGATGTGCGTCGACTACAGGCAACTGAACGACAACTCGATCCCCGATACATATCCGCTGCCGAGGATCCACACCAGCGGCTACGCCACGCCCGTTTCATATCAACGCTGGATCTCAAAAATAGTTACTGGCAGATACCAGTAGCGCCTGACAGCCGTGAATGTACGGCGTTCACTGTCCCCGGCCGTGGATTATTCCACTGGAAGGAGATGCCTTTCGGCCTACACTCGGCCCCGGCGACATTTCAACGTGCCCTCGACACAGTGATCGACACCTCGACGATATCATCGTAATCGGCTCCACGCCCAGAACTTGCGAGAGGTATTCAGATTCCTGAGGGAAGCCAACCTCCGTCTGAATCGGGACAAATGTCAATTTTTCCAACGGATCATCAAGTACCTTGGACACGTGATCAGTGACGCCGGGATACACACCGACCCGGATAAAATTTCCGCCATACGGGAGCTGACAGCGCCGACGAATCTAAAGAAGCTTTGCCGATGCCTCGGCATAGCGTCCTGGTACAGGCGCTTTGTACCGAATTTCGCCGACGTAGTGGAACCAATGACTTCACTGCTCAAGAAAGACCGAAAGTGGGAATGGTCAGCCAAACAGGAGCAGCTTTGGGCGCTCTCGTCCTCGTGCGCCGGCATGTGATATCAAACGCCGCGGAGGGATTTGCCGCTACTACCAAAGTTCGACGGCCTTACAAAGTCATAAAGTTTATGTCCCCAAACATAGTGCGGCTGCAGGAGCCCACGACTCGCCGACGCCGTACAGCAAGTATCAACAAATTTAAACCATACCACCAAGACGGCGACGAGGTCAGCGGCAACGATCTGGAGCAGACAGGTCAGGCAGATATCACCAGCCTCAACGACGGCCATGTTGTCTACGACGCCACAGCCCAGCAGTAACGACAACATCAAGTTTTAAAGACTTAACGGCCGTACCAGACTTACCAAAATCAATCGGATTAATCGATACCCATCGTCATCGATCGAACGCTATTAATCGGTACACATCGACATCGATTGCCCACTCGATCCCTGCCAGGACACACAAACCTCTGAGACTTCGGCGAGTACAGACCATGGGAAAACCGAAGGAGAAGATCGACTCACCACCACCGTTGGTTGCGATACGCGCCCCGCCCCGGCGGAGCCCGCGTATTCTCGCCACAAACAACGCAGCATTGCCACGGCCCTTGGCCAACACCAGCTTCGCGGGACCTTCTCCGCCTATTAGCCCCTCATGGTGCGAAGGGCTATCCTTGGAGGACATGGTGTCAGCCATAGTGGACGAGGAGGAGCCCAGGGATCTGCCACACGGGCATCCCCACCTCACGGCGCCACCCCTACACCCGGACATGGACGTACCAGCGCTGGTGCCGCTTCCGCGGGCCCCGGCCGCACCGCTCATCGTGTACATAGAGATCTCGGACGATGAGATCGGAGAGGTCGGCCCGACGAGCAGCCAGCAGGAGGCGGTGAGAGCGACACGACGGAGGAGCTCCTCTGCCCGGAGCCGGGAGCCTCGCCCAGCCTGGAGGAGCTCATTGAGCAACTCAGCCCCCACCCATGGGGGGCCGGCCGCCGACTGCACACTGGTGCCGGCATCACCACCAGCTGCTCTACGCACGAACCACGCCCCGGACGCCACCACCACGCCCCTCTGCGACAAACCAAAAGAGGATGCAGCAGGTCCTGGCTTCCCGGGACGGCCCAACGACTTCGGCAGCCGCCAGGAGCCGCGCCACTGCCAGGGCTGCCATCGCGGCGCAGCCACCCGGCCCGCAGCCCCGCTCCACGAGGGAGCTTACGTCGTGCTAGGACGCACAGTCATCAACCGGCCCATCCAGCGCGTACCCCCTCCCCCACGGACGCTTGGCGGTGGAGATTCCGCCGTCAGCACCAACGCCCAGCAGCCAACCACGACCTCGAGCCTCCGGGGATTTTGGCGGACGTCAATCGCCGCCATCACGCACCATGGCCAATCGAGGAGGCGCCCACCGACGACGACTCCGGGACAGGTTCCGAGCCCGAGGAACCAGAGCCGCTCATGCGGACACCTGAGGGATGGTGCGCCCCGGACGGATGGATTCCGATCGAACTCCACAACCTGATACGGGAGCGTATCCGCGGCGCGAATGGCAGAAACTTACGTTTCTTGGCCGAAGCCGGAGGGGATCACTACCGAGTACAGGTGACCCGCCGAGGAGCATACGTCCGCATCCACCTCCGAGGATGGGATGGAGTGTGAGGAGCTGAAACCCCGCCCTCACAAATGTACATATATATATATATCTTTATAGGTTAAGAGTAGGATTAAAACTAGAGTAATAAGTTTGTAGACAATAAGTTAGTATAAGAGCCAACATATAAAGTCCCATGAAGGGCACTGTAAATAGTAGCATAAGGGCTACACCACCAGATCGACATGTTCACGGCCAGGCTAGCTAGCCCGCCGTCAGCCACAACACCGCCAACAGCGACAACACCGCCAACACCGGCAGAGCCATCACCGGCAGAGTCAATAACGACAGAGCCAACAGCGGCAGAGCAACACAGAGCCAATACCGGCAAAGCCACACACGCCATCACGGCAAGGCACACACCCGGCCGAGCACGCAACAGACGAGTACCAACCGAGCCGAACAGCATCGGCGATCCACACCCGAAGGGCGCCCTTAGCAACAGCGCCTAAGTGCAGACAATGGGCCGAAGCCAGAAGCCGACACAAAGCTCTCGTGCCGGCCGAAGGCGAGAACGCCAACGAGCAGCAAAGGGATCGGCAGCCGAGGACGGCTCACGAACGCCGCTCTGCTCGCCGATCAGAGAGTTGGTTTTTGGCATCAGTGGCGATCGGACGTGCCTCTCGGCGTGAAAGGTGATAACGAGGACACCACGTATCAGGGACTTGGCGGAGCCCAGCTGAGCGGTACCACTACCGGTTGCCCAGGACAAGGAAACCCATGGGGCCCTGCCCTCATGGATAGGCTCCACTCCACGACGATGGGGGAACAGGAGACAGGCTGGTGAGACAGGCCTCGGGCCGAACCCTATAGGGAGCAACTCTCGTGGCGGTGAGACAGATAAGAGCCAGAGCTAGGAACCTTTTATATAATATTAAAGGGGAAATAAAATAATTAACGCAACATTTTATTTCGGCGCTTTTCTGGCAAGGCTTCCTCCCTCTCCTATCCCCAGTTCCCACCACGTGGCTCGGCAGCCAAGGCAGGAGCGGCACCCGGGTTTTCGGGGTCGTAAACGCCGCGGCCGTGGAGATCACCTCCCCTTCCTCACGTGGCTCGGCAGCCAAGGCAGGAGCGGCACCCGGGTTTTCGGGGTCGCAAATGCCGCGGCCGTGGAGATCACCTCCCCTCCCCCACGTGGCTCGGCAGCCAAGGCACGAGCGGCACCCGGGTTTTCGGCGTCGCAAACGCCGCGGCCGTGGAGACTACTTCCTCGAGATTCTCACCTGGCTTGGCAGCCAAGGCGGGAGCGGCACTCGGGTTTTCGGGGTCGCAAACGCCGCGGCCGTGAATACCATTTCCTCGAGATCCTCACCTGGCTCAGTGACCAAGGCGCGAGCGGCACCCGGGTTTTCGGGGTTGTGAACGCTGCGGCCATGGGGCCACTCCCACATCTTCCCGATCTGCATACGGCTACCGGTTGACGGGACCGCTATCCACCTCGGGATCCCCACGGAGCCAGGCCGGCGACTCACGGGTGACGAAGCCGTCGAACCTGGGCCCCAAAACAAATTCGTTTGGTCAAACGAGCCCGACACCCGGCGCACGGGATCGGGCCCGTTCCCGCAACATCCCGGTAGGGCTGCGGAACGGTCGGCACCCGGGCTTACGGGGCCGGCTAACTGCACCCCTCCTCCACCTCCTTATCTCCCCATGCCCAACAATTCCGGCCATTTTGGCCACCCGTCCTGTCTGTCCCCGCAAATATATAAATATTTCTGTGGAGGACCCTGGTACGACTTTGTAAGTATCCTGGCCCGTGATTAGCATCCTTACAAATTAAAGCAGTTATAGTTGTTAAATTCTGTTTTTTATTGTTTTGAGTTTTTGGTTCAGCGTCTTTTCGTATATCTTGGGTTACTCAGAATTTTTGGGCTAATAAATTTGAATTTGTCGGAGCTCAAAAAAAGTCCGCTCAGTTCCTTATATGAAAACTTGATAACTTATGGAACGGGTAATTTCACGAAGTCTGCTCCCTTGACTGATAGCCTTAAGCAGCAGCGTAAGCATTTGCCATTCACTTTGACTCAAATAATGCGAATAGATGAGGAAGGCTATGAGGTTCGTCTTGTCTATACGTTACGAAAATTAAATAAAAGTAAGCGGTGACTTTTCGTAATTTTATTCAAAAACAAAAATGTTCATGAAATTTCCTAACAAAGATAGAGCCGTTACGACCACAGTTTTAAATATACCTATGTACCTTGGTACAGTGGTCCCAATAAATAAAATGAATACTAAAAATCTAGTCTGCTTCTGCAAAAAATGCAGCCTCGTAATCAGGGCTGACCAGTCTAATATGACTTGCTGGGTGTGTGAAAATATGGTGCACACCAAGTGCGCCGGTTTTACTGGCCGGACAAGTGATGACCTTTCAAAGGGGCCCAATATGCAGTTTTGTTGTGACGCTTGTGTCGAGGTTGCGAACGAGATGAAATCGTTCATGCGCCAAACTAAAGGCGGCCTGATGGGGCTGATTAGCTGTTTCGGAGTTGCTAGAGATAGTTTTCGCCGAGCTGATGATCTCCTCTCTGCGCTGGACTCGCAGTTTAATTGACGTAAGCTATTAAAAGAGTCCCCTAAGCGCAAAAAGGCCGCTGGTGGTAGGGAGCAAAAGCAAACCCTCAAATGTTGCGAAAAACAACTTAATTCTTCTTCCTCGAACTTAAACTGCCTCTTCTTTCTCATGGTTTCGCTAAAATTGTAAAAATCTTTAATGAATGAGGCTTTGCTCCCCCAAAAAACTATGTACTATACTGCTTGCGCCTTGCCTTGAATCGGAAAATGTTGTGTAGCTTCCAAACCTTTACAGTCAGCTTTAATTTCATTATTTGAAATCAGAAAACCTAAATATTTAATCTTGTCTTGTAAAAATTTGCAATTGTCCATTCTCAATTCTAAATTATTTTCTACTAGTCTCCTAAATACTTATAAACTTATAGACTCGGTCGAATGCCTGAGGAATATCGCACTACAATATTCCCGATGTTCGAAGGCTGTACGAATTTCTGAAGTTATCCGGTTGACTTGATCGATGGTTCCGTGGCTTTCACGAAACCCGAATTGATGTGCCGGGATTAAGTTTTGTTCTCTTAAATATGGTGTAATGCACGTGAGCAGGCATTTTTCTAGTAATTTGGACAGGCACGATAGTAAGCTTATTGGCCTGTACGATGAGGGAATTGCGTGGTCTTTCCCAGGCTTCGGTATCATTATAAGTCGGATTAATTGCAATTTCAGAGCTAGACGGCGGTAGTTGAAGAGAGTTTGTGGCGGCGTTCGGCTGAAATACATTTCGTAGGTGTAAAGCAAATGTTTCGGCTCTGTTTTCGTCACTGCGGGCCCAAGTACCCGAGGAGTTTCTAATCGGAGTGACTGATTCTATCGGAGAGCTTAAATTTGGGTGAGCTCTCCACAAAGGCTGCTTTGTACTGGTCGGCAACAGTTTCTCGATGTACCGGCGCTGCGCAAGCTCCTCTTCTTGCTTGAGGGTTTTGGTGAGTCTGCCGGTGGCTTCATTAAAGAGTTGCTTCGAATGGGTCGATCTGCAGGATTGCCAAGCGCGTCGTAGACGTCGTTTTTCCCGAACCAGTTGTTAGATTTGCAGATTAGTTTTGTATTGGTTGCTACGCACGATTGTCTCTTCTGGAGGGCATCAGCACAGAAGTCGATGTCGCTCTCTATGTTTAACTGTGGTGTTAGTTTAATGTGGAAACTTACGTACTTTTTGTACTTTAGCCAGTTAGTTCTAGTCGAGGTCAGCCTGAAGGGGTGCTCGATTACTTTCGGGCTTTGAAGGAGAGTTATTAAAACAGGCGAGTGGTCCGATAATAACTCCGATAGCGATTTGGCGCTTACTAAATTTCTTGGTATGTTCTTGGTCACAGCGAAGTCAATTAAGTCCGGGAGCTGGGTTCAGCTGGCCAATATGGCTCCAGGGAGATACGTTTTCCTTTGGGGATCACGAGTCTTGATCCCCAGTGCGTGTGCTTGGCGTTGTAGTCTCCTCCTGCTATAAAGCGATCTCCGAGTGAATTGTAGAAGTCCAAGAATTGCTCTTCAGTTATTGTAAAACGCGGTGGGCAATAGACAGCGGCTATAGTGATTCGCCGTTGCCTGCTTGTAGTTTTATAGATGTAGCCTGCAAATAATTTGTTGCAAGCCTCTGGTGAAAGTGGTGCTTAATGCGTTCCCTGATTAAGATTCCAGTTCCTCCGTGAGGCTTACCGTCCAAATGATCTGTGCAGTATGAAGTCTTATTTGGAAGTTGTATTTACTTGTGAGATGCGTTTCTGCCAGCAGCATTACATCTATTTGGTTTTCATTGAGGAATTGAGTTATTTCAAGTTTGTGCCGTGATATGATTTTGCGTAAGGTTTATCATTGTTGTTTTCATGAAGGACATAAATTCCATCATACCCTGTTGTAAAGTCAGCATCATGGTTTCCATGCTGTTTGGTATTTGTCCTATTGCTTGCTGAGGTGTTATTGTATTTTGCTGAGAGCATTGAGCTTGTGGGAACCCCGTCTGATTGGCAAGTCCTGATTTTAGGGCACTGGCGTATGAAACTCCCCCATTTGTGTTGAGAGGGCCAAATGAAGATCTGGCTGCTTTCGCAAAGAAAACATTAGTTGTGGTTTTAAATTGCACGTACGCATTTCGTGCATTCTGGGAGCGTGCGTGTTTTGCTTGTTGAAACTGACTCTTCAGCTCCACAGTAAGCGCATTTCTTTGTTTTTGGGTCTTCTTTGATTGCAGGGCAAGGTTCGGAGTTGTAGAAGCCACCACAAGCAACGCAGACTGAACGAAGCCCGCAGTTGTTTCTGGTGTGTCCATACTCTTGGCAGTTTGTGCATTGCAGCGGAGCATT